TGGACGATAATTGACTAATCTTAGGGACGATAGTGATAGGTATCTGTTTCACAATGGCATTGAGGTGGTTAGAAGTAAGATTACTATAGGTGGGATTTTCTTTGTCTTTATGGTATATGGTATGGTTTAAACGTTTGACTATTGAGGTTAAGGATGGTGTCTGGATAATCAACTATTTTAAGGTTAGAAGAAATCTCAGTTCTAAACCTTAGTGATTTAAAGCCCCTAATCACTTTCTTTTGTATCTTCGTTCTTAGTGGACCATTACTATTGGGGTTGACCATGAGTCCATCATCTCTATATAGGCCTATTTGTTTGGCTCGAAGTAGGAGGGTCGTTCTTTTGTCATAAGTTCATGCGAGGTGGATTTGTTTTTTTAAAGTTATCTTCTACTCAAGCTTATGCCTAAAGAGTCAAGAGCTACAAGAGATGAGGTTATTATTTATTTATTCAGTTTTCCTTCTGTTAGCCAGGCTTCCTAACAGAGCCGGGGAAGAGATGGATTCATCCCTTTTCCAATGGTATCAGCACGTAAGTGAATGCAATGAACTCGAATACAATTCGAACATGGCTTTTGCTTTCTTAATTCGAGCCACAATCTATTCTTCCACCGTTACTCCTGCATTACCTTATCTAATTTTATTTATTAACTCTGTTTAATACATAGAATATCTTTTTTCTTAAATTACCAAAGGTCGATGAATGATAATTCAGTCACCAGACAAAAGATCGTAAGCGACATGCCGCTTACTCGCGGGTACTTCTTGCAATCAGGGGTAAGCACTAAAAATCAATTTTACGAGAAAAGTTCAGTGCATATTTCTTGAGATATTCACTAAGCGTAGGATAATGTACGTTTTCTCAAACAGCTACATGGAGAGAGATTAGAACCTCCTTAAAATAAGAGCAAAGTTTGGAGAAGATACTTACAGATTCATTTATGAAACCTACCTGTATCTACCTTTTTAAAGTCTAGTGTAAATCTTTCCTATATCTACCTTTCTTTACTCTAGAGTACACCACGAACATCTCTAGTTATTCAACTCTAGTGTCAATCAGGCCGATATCCACCTTTTTATAACGCTGCAACTAAATATACCCTATATGTTTCTACATTAAACCGGGGCAATGACTACCTTTTTTGCCACAAGTGTAACTTGTACCTAAATCTACTTTTCTGATTCCCGTATAAACCGGTCTCGTGTCTACATTTTCACACTAGGGTAAAACGTACCCTTAACTATATATTTTTTTCATGTTTTTTTATTGCCATCTACCCATCTATGTTTCGCATTTTCTTTCACACTCAGCAACCCTTTACGTCTTAGTGGCTTTATCGCCGTGCTTAGGCAAAAATGAGTACGGAATACTACTGCAAACCTGTCTTATATCAACATTTTTGGCACAAGCCGAAACAAAACTCATGTATACCTTTATGATTCTAATATAAACCAGATTTATATCTAAATTTTAAGCCTAAACTGGACCTAAAATCTACCATTTTCATTCTCGTATAAATCATTACCCTAGTTTTTTATTGTCTTCATTTCTCTCTCTCTTTCTTTCTCAATAAAGTTGTCTCAGTTTTTTCACTCTCGATAACAGGTGGTCTGTTAGTGGTTTCATTGCTTTGCTTGGGCTGAGATGATTAAAAAGTAATATAAACTGGTCATATATAAACATTTTTTAATCTACTGGAAAATGTAATGTACTTCTAACTTTTGAATTCCATATTAATCAGGGCCTATGTGAACATTCTTCAAACTAGTGCAAAAGGTACCTAAATCTACTTTATGACTCTTGTGTAAAATGGACTTATATCTATAAACATATACTTTATAGACATTAGTGTAAACCAGCCATATATCTGCATTCGTTACACTAGTATTATCCGGCTATATCTTTACCTTTTTGATAATAGCGCAAAATACATCTATATCTACCTTTATGAAACTACTGTAAGTTGGTCCTATATCTAAACCAGACTTATATATACCTTCTTGGCATTAGCGTAAAACGTACTTATATACGTTTAAACCAAACCTATATCTACCTCATTGACACGAATGTAAACCGTACCGATATCTAACTTTTTGACACCAGTGTAAACCAGGGTTATATATACCTACTTGACACTAGTGTAAACCAAACCTGTCTCTATCATTTTGACACTAGTGTAAACCAGGCCTATATATACCTTTTTGACAGGAGTATAAACCAGAACTATACCTAACTTTTTGACACTAGTGTAAATCAGACCTATATCTACCTTTTTGGCACTAGTGCAAACTAGGCTTATATATACCTTCTTGACTAATGTAAACCAGGCTTACATAAACCTTCTTGAAACTAGTGTAAACCAGACCTATATCTACCCTTTTTACACTAGTGTAAACCAGACCTATTTCTGCTGCTTTGAAACTAGATTAAACCAAACCTATTTCTTCATTTTAAATTTAAACAAGACCTATCTTTGCTTTTTCATACTAGTGTAAGCCTAACCTATGTTTAACTTTTTCCCCTTAGTATAAACTGGACTCATGTTTAGCATTTACCACTAGTGTAAACCAGATCTATGCCTACCCTTTTGACACCATGTTATAATCTATCAATGTGAAACTTTTTATCACCTGTGTAAACTGTGAATCCGTCTAAGTGTGTGACACTAGTTCAAACCTTTTCACTCTAGTATGGATCGAATCTTTGTCTCTCCTTTTGACGCCAGTATATACTGGATCTATGTTTTCCTTTATAAAATTAATTTTGACTTTTTTCTATATGATTTGTATTTGATATTAAATAACCCAACAAACTGGCTTCAATTTAACCTATGTAACCTGCCCTTTTTTTTTTCATTTCTTTATTTGTATTTTCAGTGATATAATAAAGCGCACAAGTCATATTTTCTTTCATTTTCCCCCTCAGATGTTATTTTCTCTAGTCCTCGTTGTGATAACATCATCTTCAGATATTGTAAATGACTAACATCCCTATCATCTAGAGAAATCTCTTCATTGTTAATTAGAAGACGACAAATATCTGTAACAGCAAAGTTATTGAGCAGTTTATCATTGCTAAAATCGTCTAGCGTTCTGAAAACAATTTTTAGCTTATCGATGCCATGGGTAATATTTTTCATTTGGACAATTTTACGCTGAAACAAGCGAGAAAATTTCTGAAAATTATTCAATGGTTTCAGCAGAAATTTTCTTCCACTGTTCATAAACAATGCCATTTTGTTTAGAATGGGAAATCACAACAAACTAAGACGTTACGATCGTCCTATCCATCAGTACGTGACTGGCTTACCCATGACAGAAGTGGTTATGACACCGTCCCTGAAAGAAGAGCTGTTGGATTATTAGGTTTGGTTTGGTTTGTTTTACAGCACATGAACCTCAATGGGTCATTTAATGCCGACAACTTTTTATTTTGGTAATATTTTTATTTTGTCAAAAATCTATTTAAGTTAATGTATTTTTTCCCCTCAAAAATGTATAGCTGGTAATATTTTTTTCCAAAACATACATCTGGTAATATTATTTTTCCAAAACGTATAGCTGGTAATATTTTTTTTCAAAAACGTATAGCTGGTAATATTATTTTTTCAAAAACGTATAGCTGGTAATATTATTTTTCAAAAGCGTATAACTGGTAACATTATTTTTTCAAAAAACCTATAGCTGGCAATATTATTTTTCAAAAACGTATAGCGGGCAACACTATTCTTTAAAAATATGTATAGCTGGTAATATTTTTTCCAAAAACGTACATCTCGCAAAATTATTTTTTCAAAAACGAATTATCAGAGGACTTGCTGTTGGACGTAGTTTGTCGTCATACCCAGAACGAGGATGTAGTTTATCGACATACCCAGGACGCGGATTATTAGGTGCAAATTGAAAGATTTATTTACATTCCGATTAAACGTTATATATTTTAGCAGAAGTTGTCTGCTTGAGTTCGAATTCTACTGCTGTTGATTTAAAAACGTTGAGACAAAAACGATAAAAGTCTTTATAGGAGAAAGTAGCTTTGGCGATTACAACTTACGATATTCAGATGACACACTGTGGATAGCAGACACGGAAAGAAAATTACAAAAAAAAACATTTACAAAAATAATGAAGGAAAGCGAGAAGAAAGGATTAAACATCAACAGTCTGAACAACCTCATCAAAGATGAAGAAGAGACTTGAAACAACAGAAACGTGGTTTTAAAGAAGGATGCTGAGGACAGCATGGATCAAACATGTGAGCAACAACGTAGTTTTGGCGAAAATGGAAGTAAAAATGAAAGTGATACTTATCAGGAAGAGACTGTTAAATTCTTATGGTTCAGAATGAGGAAAGAGGGCTTGGAAAATCTGATACTTACAGGATAGATTGAAGGCAAGATACTTAGTGAGCTTGAGTAAATGGATGACATGACCACGTTTTAAGAGAAATAACAGGAAGACACAATTTAGTACGACGTACAAGGCAATGGAAATTGTGGAGAAACATGATCGTCTAAGTATGGAAAGGACACGTCACATAAAGTAGAAGGTAGTTTGCATTGGAATGCCTACACTACCTAAAAGTTTAACCGACAATAATTATTAGATGCGATTGATACCTGGGATAAGATTTTATCGAAACTTGTGTAGGTGTAAACTGAAACCCCCGATTATTTTATTCGTTAATTTATTCGTTAATGCAGACAATATTTTCACTGTTGATAAAGTATTTGTTTGTTTTTTTTTTAACCCATATCAACCTCTCCAGTTTAAATAATGTCGAAATCTAAATATTTTGTACGCAATTTTTTTACAGAAAAGACGAAGATAATAATGGTTTTAGTGATACATGTCTTACTAATTAACCCATAGCAGGAGGGGAAAAGACGGATTAATACCATAGGGTATTTGCGCGTAAGTGAATTTAAAGAACGTAACATAAATTGAAACTCGCCTCGCCGATTAACAATTCCGAGTCATTATCCATTATACCACCCGTACACACCTGGTATTCTCAAGAGGTCACCTATATAGGTACAGACCAAGCTCAGCGTTGCTTAACTTCGGTGATCTTACGGGAACCGTTGTTTCAATATTATGTGTCCGTAAGCTGTTGATAAATTTCTTTGGGTTGGTTGGTTGGAAATATTGCGGTATTCTTCATCAGTCACTACTTAAAGTAATTCTTTAGAAAAGTTGCTAGCAGCCGTATGAGGCATTCAGAAAAGACCGCGTTAGACCCCTGGACATAATAATCAATCCATTATTGATCGCTAGTAGACTTGTCAATTCAAACAAACAGTTACCTCATTACTCAGATAACACAATCGAACTAGAAACCCTAAATGCCGATCGCCAAATGAAAAAAAAAATGTACACACTCCATATTAAATCGACGACAATAAGTACATACATCACAATATTCTAATGTCAGCTGCATTGAATGCTTAAGTAACCATGGCTCGCTACAGAATAATTTTCTTTATTATCAGTGAATAGCAATGTTGTCTTGGGAAAAAATAATGCAATAGCTTTTCATTGCCTTCCCATAGGTTCTAGTTTAGTTTATTCCTGTTCTTTGGTAGATAATCCCGCAAGTCTCGTTAAGCTTGGATAGCGGCTAGATTAGGATGTCATTTAATCTATAGCAGGTCGGACAGAGTAAAATTTTCATACTTTTCCCAAATGCAATTGTACGAAATTACCGTAACAGATATGCCCAGAACCTAATCTTAGCCTCAAGATTTGCAATTAGCCGTTATGCTAAGAATTATTTTGGTCAACTGTCTGAGTCAGTTCTTAGATAGCTTTTTTGAGAAGTTATTCTTTCTGACTTTTGTCCTCGATATGTGAACTTTGCATATAAATTCGGTTCGAATTTGTCTCTTTTAGTAAACAATCTACTCACTGGGACAGTAAAATGATAAACAAAAAATATATATATTCATGTTACCCCTATATTTTGTTACATATTCTTTCTTTCTTTTTATTATGAATTACATTTTTATATATACCAATTTGTAACCCCTGCAAATCTCTCTTTTCTCACTCTTTCTTTATTTCTCTCTCTCTCTCTCTCTCTCTATATATATATATATATATATATATATATATATATATAATGTATGTGTGTGTGTGTAGGTATGTATATATACAGTAATGACCATACTCGAACACGAGTTGGCAAACTATATATATATATATATATATATATATATATATATATATATATATATGTGTGTGTGTGTGTGTGTGTGCATATTTTTCATTCAATCATGTTTCGTTAAATAGTTTAAACGTAGTATCTCTATTTTAGTTTTATTATTTTCAAATCCACGAGTAGATAATTTTTGTTCAAATAATGTTTATTTTGCCAAGTACTTCCAACTCAACTGAGACTATCTTCCTGTGTTGCATACTTATGGATGTGTTATGCGTTAACACCGTAAATTCAAAATGTTTTTCACTGCTATGCAAGGGCAGTATGTGTCATCTTTTAATATTTCTAACTGTACTATTTTAATTTAGCATTTTTATATAAGACTTTTTATATAACAACGACGATGACAAGAAGCATTACGTTTCACATGAACGATCATAGTTCAATCTCATAATATTTAAAGGAATACACATGTCCACATTTACAGTTTAGACAGATATTACTCGAAAATACATCAGTACTTCATCAACATAATAATAAGCAAAAACTTAAAATTCTCGAAGCCCTTTATATAAGAGAATTACAGCCCAAAATAAAGCCAGCTATGTGTATAGCAACAATGTTCTTAAATATTTGTAGCAGCAAAGCCTTATAGAAATAATAGTAAATCAAAATACTATAATTAAAAAATCTATTTAAAAACAATCACGTATGTTACATCTCTTGCATTGCATAACTAATCCATAGATATGCAATCCCTGATGATGGTCCTAAATGTGATTGAAAGTACGAAGGGAATGAGGTTGGTTCGCTGCAAAGTACTTGCCATGGCGTGTCCTAGCCGGGAATATTACAATTGGTTGAAGTAAGGAATGTAGTCCGTCTGAAAACTTTCCATGGAAATAACGATATAGCAGCGAGTGGGTGGCAAAGTTTCATTTATGAGGAAAAGGGCTGTACGTTGGAATATAATTTTTAACCCAGAAGGATGTGGAGACGCCTGTGAACTCTATCGAGACAGGAAAGTTAAGACTGAGCAGCTCCTGCAACAGTTCTCGATTTTGGGCCCGATCTCGCACTTGTAATGGTTAAGGATTGCAGGAGATATCAGCTGGAGAGATACAGGGAAATCAACATTTTTCCAGCGTCTTTAACGACGATTCGTCTGTACGAGTTCTACTTGAGGTCTGGATTAAGTTTAGATCCCAACAGAAGCTCAAGTCACGGGATCCCCGTTAGGAAACATCCTTTCATCACGAATGGTCGTAATTCTTCATCCGATCGGCGATGATGGAATGCATTTAGTTTGGTTTACGAGGCGTTGAATATTACCAGTCAGTTCTTCCCTCACTGAGATCTTAGACTAGATCAAAGGGGAGATCAGCTGCTGATCATCTCTAGATTTGGAGGTGCACCTATATTATTCTGGCTGCAATGGTAAATCAAATGTTGGATATTCAAAGAAGCTCAATGATAATAATAATTTTGCAAAGTAGTTTTATTTTAAGAAAAGGTTTGAATTCGTGCATTCTGCTAATTGAGACAGCAGCTGAGGGTTATCCAGATGGGATTTACGTTAAACTGGATCATGAGATTATATCATGAATTTCTTCTGGAATTGTTTCAATCTAAATTAGCAGGTTTCGGCCATCTTTACAAATATACTGCAATATTAAATGTTGTAATTCATAATTTTCTTCCTACATTCGACAGATGGTTTAAGAGTTAAAATATTGATGGTTGAAAATGTAAGCGTGAAAAATTCACTCTTCTTCACTCGTGGAACATGTAACAGTTAATCATCTGTCTTCTGTGAAACTGAAATATATTTTAGACATTTAAGTAGAATTACACCGGAAATATGAAAGAATAATGCGACTTTGTTCATAGACACTGTAAGGAGAATACTATGAGAACAGGCAATCCACTTCTGCGTGCTGTGGCCTTCCAGGAAATGGCCGATCAAGGGTTTCCACAATTTCCTCTCTTTTGTAGATCTTAGTCAATTTTGTCTTTTCGCTGTCTCTCCTTTTTCCGTTCTGACACCAATTTATACAAGCTACTGAATCCCTCTCTCCCTCCTGGTTTCAATATATCATGTGAGTCTGAAATTTTCTAGACCTTCTTTCCTCTTTATATGATATATAAATTTAAACTGCCGCTTACTAATCCACAGTATAAGTCCCCTTTTTTGTCGATATTTTCTCAAAACGTTCGATACTGCTCACATGTTCAGTCCATGGTTTCTCACATTCTTTCTGTAGACCAACACTTCTGTGACCTCAAGTCTCATCTTCATGTGTGAGGAGATTGTCCTACATTCACTGTCATATAGGGAAAACTGATATTAATTAAGACTAAGTGCTCATTTCTTTGTTTCTAACGAAATTTTCCTGTTTCCGAATACTATGCTTAAGTCAACTTTGACCATCACAATGCTCATTTGGCTTTCAGTGTTCTATGATTTGTCTTGTGTTAAGATACTTATAGGTTATTTCAATTGTTCTATTTAACAGATTTTGGTATCTCCAATATTCACTTCCCGTTTTGGGTGCTTTCTCTTGCTGATAACCATACTTTTGTGATGCCAACGAACACTCGTTGCCACTTTCGTAATGCTCATTGTATTAGAGACTTTGTAATCGCAGATACAACTATAATAACGCCGTTGAACAATGCCGGTGTCAGACGCCTTCGAATAACACTCGCACTAATAGTACTTGCTCGATAATACTCTCACGAACAGCGATTAGTGATCTAAATAGTGATCCATATAGTGATCAGTACAGAGAAATAGTATAGTGAATAGTATATAGAATAGCGATCCGTATAGTAATAGAGGACAGAGTAGAAAGAGTGATCCGTATAGTAATATAGGATAAAATAGAAAGAGGGATCCCTTAGATCCTAAATGCAAATTCAGTATATATGTATTTTATTTTTAAGTTACTATATATCTTTAAAAAAAAATTTGAAAAGTTTTAAAGATTACCTAAACTTACCTTTAAACATTGTTGTGATGGCTCAATACTGCCTTAAAACTGCTGTGATCATATATGGCGGCGTCACAGTCGTAATTACTGGAAGCCATGGGACTCCACCGTAGGAGTTTTAATGCGTGGGAAGGGTGATAATCGTGTTCTGGCGGGAGGAAGTTGTTAGGGTGGTGGTAATGGTGGCGATTCGGGGTTACTTTCATGATCCGCCTGTTTGGGCTGTAAGAATGGATCCAATTTTAATGGTTTCCCACTTTGATACTGTTCGCTAATTACCAGTTCCTTTAATGTTCAAAGGTGTTGATAATACGCCTTAATTTCCCGCTTCTTGTTCACATCAACAAATTTTAGGAGAGTGTCAACAGAATCACGTACGTTAGACATTTTCGGTCGTTCCACCACCTCCCCCTCCGAATCACTGCTGCTAGTGAAGGGCTTGACAAACAATACTGTATACTGTACCAAAATCAGTATTAAATGTTCGAGAGACGATGCATGTGTATACATGACGATTGCTCAAGTAAACAACGCAGGCTATTCCTGGAACTACCAGTCTCTGTCTGTTGATTGCACTAGTAAACAACAGCAGTCAGTTCTGAAACTAACGGATTTTGCTCGCTACGCATAGAAGCTTTGAGTTCCAGCCGGACACTACCATTTCTGCGGATTTTGTACGTTAAATCCAGAGTCAGTTGGTTCCGGGACCGTTAATTCGAGGTTTTTACCAAAATCAGTATTAAATGTTCGAAAGACGATGTATGTGTATACACGATGATTGCTCAAGTAAACAACGAAGGCTATTCTTGGAACGACCAGTCTCTGTCTGTTAAACTCACCAGTAAATAAAAGCGGCCAATTTTTTAACTAAACGACTAACATTTCTGGTGATTTTCTCCGTTAAATCTGGAGTTCGTTGATTCCGAAACTATTAATTCGAG